TTGTGGGTGGGCAGGTTGGCAAGACTCTGTGTTGCTGCAGCTCAGATGCGTGGGGCCCCAGGGCTCCTTGCCACTGTACCCCCAGGCTGTGCGGGCAGGGTTGGGGAGCCAGGCAGTTGTTGTGGCACAGGTGGGCTGTTGAGCTTTTATAGCATGCTGAAGGGATGCTCAGGAAGAAAAAGGTTGAGAACCCCTGGTTTAGTAGAACATGTCAGGGTAAGGGGAGCCAGTCTGGTTAAATGTGCTAAGCTAAGCTAAGTGTACCTTCAGAGTAGAAGTCACCTAATTAAAAATAACCTGGAATTTGCTATTGCAGCAGCAGCTGGGTTATGAGAAATGAGCATCTCGATTTGACAAGTGCATAATATCAGAAAATACACCGGTAACAAATAGCAGCAGCTGTTCCCTGCTGAAAGCAAGTACTGCAGCAGGCAGTCAGGGTTTAAGTGACTGAAGAAAATTCCTTGTGGAAAGACTTCTTCCCAGGCTCTGAATCTACTTTTAGAAAAATATGTGAATCCATACTATTTAGTAGAGGTGTGAGTGGCAATTAGCAGTGAGAAGGTTTTTGGGTTTCCTGTAGACTTGACTGAAACAGTCACTGTGCAGTTCTTTAGAAAGCATCAAGGATTGGTAAAATATATTTGATTATATTCTGACGTATTGTAGATAGCTCCGGATCTAAAACTGCTGTGGCTAAGTGGTTGCTTTCTTAACGTGGAAATGAAGTTTATATGTAAACATTTAAACCTGGGTTTCCTGTTTGCTGGCTGTCTGTTGTACAAAAAGGAGGCTGGGGTTTTGATCTGAATACTGCTAGCTTGGGGGGTAGGTTGAGACAGCATTTTATCATTAGCTTAGTTTTCCATAGGCTGGGAAGTTGAAGGAAAGAGCTTACCAACCAATCAGCCTCATCTAGGTGAGTTTCTCAGGTCTCCTTGTGTGGAGATAAACTTCTGATTCTGTTTAGAGGACTGTCTTAAGACTGCACCTTTTTATCCATTCACAGTCACATAACCATCTGCTTTCCCAATTTATAGCTGCAGAATACATATTTGCCAATGACAGCAGTTGCTTACATGGAAAAGTAGTATTAAGAGTCATGTATTTTTAGCTGCATTCAGTGGAATTTAACAATTGGAAAAAGGAAGACAGCCAGCACCAAACGATGAGCCAAGTCTGCAGACCACCATGCGCTCCAGGGACCACACTTGGAGAAGCACTGATCTATCCCATGGAACAGTAGAAGCACCCTAAACAAGTCCCTGCCTGCAAATATTGACTACCCTTTTCACCCTTTACATATTCTTATTCTGAACGGTCTGGTAGTTAACATTTACAGTGCATTCCCTCAGTGTTGAAATTAAGTAACCTTCATTTTGAAACCGGTCTGTACAATGAACCTATCCTTGGAGAACTTGTTTGTGGCTTTACTAATCAAAAAGTTCACTCTGACTCTACCTCCACTTGAACTGTTTTCTAACAGTGATTAAAAGATGCTATTAATTAAATAAAAATGAATTCCCATACAGACTGAAAAGGTCTGAATGCTAAAATGATGATGTAATAGTTATTTTGAAAAACCGATGGAATATTCCCTAAATATTTAATCTTGGAAAGTAGTACCTTTCTGCATGTACAGTGCATACTCTGTATGTGTATTTACACAAAAGATGTAATGGTTCTAATAAGTACCCATGACTTTTGAAGTTGGCTATGGGAGTATTTACCAGAGCTTGTTAGTGTGTCATCTTAATGCATGAAGCCACAGTGTGGCTTAGTTGTTAGCACTTCTGCTTCTGGACTACAAGGTTATGAATTCACACCAGGCTTTAAGATTTTATGCAGTGCTGAAAGTTTGATGCAACTGAAATGTTAAACACAAATTCCAGCTCTATTACTGAGTTTTATATGGCCCCTAATGCTAGCAGGGTAGATGAAGCATGAGGTCTGAATATAGATCAAATGGAGGGGTGGACAAAGGCAGTGTCTTGTGGATTATACAGGGAAAGTAAAAATTTTATGTATGTGTGTGTTTGTAACATGAGGGAACAAGTCTGTGGTAGGGAAAACTGAGGCCATGGTAGGATGATAGGCTGAAGCAGAATGAATTTATGCCACATCTGAGCATAATAAAATCTTAATTTAAATATGGATCTGACAAAACACTAGATGTCTTCTAGTTTGGGGACTGCCATATTCTGTAGACTGAAACACCAGCTATTCAAAGGCAGTAACTACAGCCAAGGCAGGTTGAAAAAAAGAGAGGCACTTTAGTCTTTCTGCCATGGTTCAGCTTATTTATAGGAGTAGCTGCTATCACAAGTTTGGCTGTATTTTAAAAAAAACAAACAAAAAAAACACACAAGCCATAACGTGCCCAACAATCTCTTCATCAAGAGACAAGGAAAGCAGCAGACATTTTAAAGGTACAGCTGGTGACACGCTATAGAAAAAAATGACCACAAAATCAAACATTGTGCAGAAAACAAGCTAATTGCTTCCCTGCATTCTCTGACCCAAGTCATGGGTATTCAAATGATTATAAAAACGTAGGTATCTGAGCAGCTCGGTCCTCATCACAATGTTAGCTACTGAATTAAGAGCTAGTTGGCTGTAATCAGTAGAAGCAGAAACTGGCCTAATCTCTACTTGTTGCTGTACTCCTGCTTCTACACCAGCACTGTATAGTCCTGAAGCAACTTAGCCTTTTGTGAAATCCTTGTTAGTGCTCTTTTACAGAATATATTACAAAACAAAGATAGCATTCAACAGCAGTGTCAAAAGTTAGTTGAATTAATACCACCCTGCATTCATATGTTGAACTGTTCGGCATCTAATGAATGCTAATAAATAAATGACCGGATTTGACATCCAGAAACTGTCCATTACAGGAGGCAAAGCAATTGCAGAACTGTCAGGGACATGATAGCCTTGTCTTTGAATATTTAATCAGTTCTTGATCAGACTTGAATAGTCAACATCACCAACTTGAAACACACTCAGTTTGAAATGAAAATGGTCCCTGCAGATAGTTTCTAACAGGTGCCTCTCTCTCTCTTTTTTTAGCTTTATCTTCAAGCTAGAATGAAAGGAGACTGGGCAAGACTGCTGCGTCCTACAGTGCAATTTGGCCTTGTTGCGGCATCCATCTACGTGGGTCTTTCGCGTGTCTCTGACTACAAACATCACTGGAGTGATGTGTTGACTGGACTCATTCAAGGAGCAGTAGTAGCTATACTTGTTGTAAGTCTATATATAGTTCACTGAGATAAAGGTATTTAAAAAAACTAGCATGTTTAGATGAAGCATTGATAATAATAAAAAAAAAAAAATGTATAGGCATCATTCAAGAGAAAGGGCACATGCCTTCCCAGCACTCTGGGAAGCACAGGAAAATGAAAATGATGGAAAACACTCAGACTTGGAGACAGCAAATCACAGTTGTTACAGCAGCTCCTGGGGCCAAGTCATGGACCAGTTATATCTCATTGGAATAGAGGCAGTCTTTGTTCTGTTTTTGTACAAACAACTTGAACTTGTACTCTGAACAAATGGAGAGAGGAAGGTATAAGGAAGCAATGGGCTCAATAAGCAGTCTCTTTTGAAGGGAAAGGAGAATTTTGAAGGAAGGACTTGAAAGAATATATGCTTATGTGAAGCTCCTAATAAGGATAAAAACTGTGGGAGAAGGCAGAAAGGTGCATTAGATTTTTCAAGCAAGTGGGCTGGAATCATGGACTGACTCAAAACAAGAGCTGGCTTAATGAATGGGAGGTTGGGTCTGGATGCGTCATGAAGGGTCTTGAAACTGAAAGCAAATACCCTATTTACCTGAATCCAATATTACTTTGAATTTAAGATGACCCCCATAATTGTATACTGTGCCTGAAGAATTATCAATTTGTTAATTTCTATGTATAGGATTTAATGTTTGGAGGGTCATCTTAAATTCATACCTCTTGCCCCAATGCTCCCCACCCCCACTCCCTGTTCTGCTGCTGTTTGCCTTATGCAGCAGTGGCTCTGGCCCTGGCCAGACTGCAACAGTGGCAGCAACAATAGCTTTGATCCTGGCCTTGCCCAGGCAGCAGCAGTGACAGTAACTTGGGCCCCAGGCCTGGCCAGGCAGCAGCAATGGTGGTGGCCTGTGCTAGGGCTATACTCAAATCCAAGACAAGGCTCTTCCTCCTCCCCCCATCTGTTAAATAGGGGTAAAAACCTCACCTTGGAATTGAGAAATACGGTAACTTACCCTTGCAACAGAATGGAAGACAGCAGAGGGATACAAAGTGGTGATATGGTTAGTGATAGACTAAGAAAAATAATCCTTGCAGCAGCGGTCTGAATGGATATTAGTGCAGCCAAGTAGTCTTGCTAAGCCAGAGAACGATGTTGCAGCAATCAGAATGTTACATGGGGAATTCTCTTGCATCTCCAGTAAAGTAACTGTCTTTAAACTCATGGAAAGTGCCACTGGAAATTCTTTTACTTCCATTTCTAGGGAAAGAAAAGCCATGTCTTAAATATCCGACATGAGAATTTTCAAGATTTAGATATGGCTTGGATGAGGACCTAGAGGTCAGTCAAATGACTGTCAACCTTTGGGTCTGAGGCAGGATAGCTGTTTGTCCAACAGTGCAGTAAGAAGGGAGGGTTTGTGGTGAAAGCCGTCTTCACCATATTGAGCTTAAACTGACACCAGAGCACCTATGAGATGTTTAGGACAGGCCAAGATAGTGACAGAATGCAACCAGAGAATTCACTCAGCCAAGAAGATAAAGTCACTCTCCTCTAGTTAAGTTAGTGGAAGAAGTCAGCCAGTCACCAGACTTCCTGCAGTACAGAAACAAGAACAGAGGAACTGGATACTGGTGGTGAGCTTTGGTCAACCTTGTAGTGGGAGATATCTAAACTAATTCTGTTAAACATTTGTCCATTAAGCAAACTCCTCCCCAGGCTTACAGAGCAGATCCATCCCTCCAGCCCAGTTTGAATGGGCCAAGGTGTGTAGTGTTTTTAAGCTGTCCTGAAAGGAGCACTGGGATGGTTCAAGGTAACCATTTGAAACCATAACAAATCCTCAGCTAAATACATATCCTGAACCACTGCCAAATGTAATTTGAGAAACACTATTAGAATCTTCAAGCAAACTGGGCTCCATGAAGAAAGGAACAGGAAAGGAGCAGTGGAAAAAGAGAAATGCAGATAGTGGTTCTCTGGGCTGCTGCACTTCAGGCACAGCTAACTCCAGTGACAAAGTGGACATGGTGGAACTACTTTGCATGCCCCTGCACAGCCAGATAAGCCTAAAGCTGTGCTCACCTGTGCTGCAGCCCTTCCTGATCCAATGCCCTGTGCTCCTCCTCAAAACATGCATGCAGGGCAAGTGGAACTGTTCCCCTTACCCCTTTCTGACAGAAGCAAGGCAGGAGCAGGATGGGAGAGGGAAGAGTCTGGATAGGGAAGGGTTGCAGCAAGAAGGTTTTCCTGCCTGCTTTAGGGTTATCTGGCTCTGCATCGAGGCTTGTGGAGCAGTTCCACCTGGCTGCAGCAGTTCAGTTGAGAAGCACATAGGTAACTTGAGGTAGCACAACACTGGGGGTACCTGCCAAACTAAGTTGAAATTAATGTGATGTCAGAGTGCTGTCTGTAACGGAGTGGTCAAGGTACAGAGGGATGTAACTACTAAGGGGCCAAAAGAGTTTGAACATTACAGTTCTAATGTAAAGTGACAATGCTGAGGTGTTTATTGCTGTTTGCTTTTGCAAAGCCAATTACAGAAGAAGTGAAAACATCCAGACTTGTGCACCAGAGCTGCAATTCAAGTCCGAGTGGTCACTGGAAACTTTAGTTCTCACCTTCCAGAGACTACTACATACAGCATGCAACTGAAGCATTAGCTTGCTTCCCTTATATATAAGGAGAGACATTACTTTCTGCTGCTAAAATTGGTGCCCAACCTAGAAGAGCTGTTTCACTAACTTCTAGAATATGATAGTAAGGTCTTATTTCCCTCCTGTATTAAAAACATAATCAGCTTCTTGATGAGGACATACAGTTCTTACTCCTTGGGATTTCTGGCAGTTATCTGAAATGCTTTGACTATGTAACTATTGAAATTGCTCTCAGGTAGTTATATCACACATGTACACAGCACTATGTAAGTAATGTATGCACAGATCATACAGGTGGGACTTTGGAGGTAAGGCTTACTGAAGTCTTAGTGGAGGAGAAGAGGAAAATGTGATACATTCAATTCTAATGCTGTCTGATTTGTTCTCTTAGGTTGCATACGTATCAGACTTCTTCAAAGTGAGGGGCTGTACATTTAAACCCAAAGAAGACTCGCACACAACTCTACATGAGACACCAACAAATGGAAATCACTATGGCAGCAATCACCAACCATGAAGGATTGAGAGTCCCACCCTGTGACATCCTGCTTTTTTGAAAGGAAAATGATTTCATGAGTCTCCCTGACCTATGTAATATAAATTAAATGCCTTTAAGGGACTGCTGCTGCTCTTGGATGCTCACTTATGTGTATATAGTAACATTTAACACCATTATGTATATCTAATGCTTTAAAAATTTTTAAATTTCTACTGGTTCAAGGTCTTGCTTAAAAAGCTAATCAAACTGTAAATTTTTATTAAAATAATGTGGTAACACTTATATTACATAAACAAGCTGTTTATACACATCTTGCTAGAATGTTTGCTTTTAAATACATGCAACAAATTAAAAACTAAACCTCTGTCTTGGGATGAGCTGGCACAGTTGGCTGATGCCAAAGTCTAAAATTAGATTCTGCTCACTGAGCACGTCCATCTGCCCTATGGTGGTGAGGGCTGCTCCTGCTCCACTGTTGGCATTCAGAAAAGATTCCTCAGAGGTAAAGGCTCGCAGCAAACACAATGTCTCTCTTGATTTTTGTAATTCCTACCGAGAAAAAGAAAAGCAAAGTCAAAGCCTTGCCCATACCAGATCATAGAAGATCATTTCTGACAAGGGGAAAACTTGGATTACTTCATACTGACTGCTTCAAACAAACTTATCACATGGATGTATGAGACAATCATGGGTTCTGACCTGTGGCTAAAGTACAACAGGACCCTAAAAATAGATGTTTTCCTTCTAAGCTAACAAGTATTTGTTAAGCTATTCATATACACATGTAGTTAGTTTGAAGTCACACAAAAGCGAGGGTGGAATTGCACCATAAACTGTTGCTCACAAGCTTATATGCATCAGTAATTCAGTTAGTTTGTAAGGTGCAAGTCTACCTTGCCTTCCATATATGAAGAGGCTCTCTTACACATACAGCTCAAATCAAGCTTCCCGGCACCTTCAACTTGATATAAATATAAATAAAGAATGGAAATGATGAAAAGTCATAAAGGGGTTTTTTATTTAGTGGTATCTTTTACTGGAGCAACTAAGCTGTTGGTTATCTAAAAATAACTTCTGCAAGAACACTGGACTCACAGGGATGTCCCTTCCAAACTACACAGTTGGTTAATAAAGGTATCACCAGAAACCCCTCTTAATTATGTCATACATCCTCGACCGGGGTGTTCATCTTACGTGGCACAGACAGCCTGTGTGTGCAGCATGTGGCAGGTCAGGCAGGGGAAAGATAACATGACAGGATGCAAAAAACAGCAGCAGGCTCAGCACAGAGCACAGAGTAGAAAACAGAACAGTAGGTCAGGGAGGGGAAGGGGATCAGGGAGGGTGCAGGGCTAATTTGCAACAAGTCTCCCAGGAAGCCTGGCCCCCACTGCCCTAGACCAAAGTGCAGCAGTACTCCGCAGATTCATAAATGTTAGGGTCTGAAGGGATCTCAGTAGGTCATTGAGTCTGACCCCCTGCCCTGGGCAGGAAAGGGTGCTGTGGTCAGATGACCCAAGCCAGGTGCTTGTCCCGTCTCCTCCTAAAAACCCCCAAGGTATGGGAGAGCACCACCTCCCTTGAAAGCCCATTTCAGATTCTGGTAACCCTTACTGTGAAGTTCCTTCTAATGTCCAACCTAAATCTGCTCTCTGTTAATGTGGCTATTGTTCCTAGTTACTCCAGGGGGTGCCCTAGTAAACAGAGCATCTCCTATTCCCTGCTGCCCTAATAGAGAAAGGGAACATTTAGTCTTCTGCTCATTCCATATAAAATTACTGTCTGATATTAGCTCAAACTGTTTTTTCAACCTGAAATGACTGCAGATGTGTAATCTATATGTGTATGAGGTATCTCAATACATACCTTCTGCAAACTTATTTTCCAGCTCTGTATTTCCAATGGCTTTTGCTGCTTGACACATCTGTCGAAGCAATTCTTCTAGTCGCCTCATACAACGAATTATGCTACCTGGGTAAAAATGAAGAACTTCCTTTTAGTCACATCATGCAAAATGTAGTGCCAGTTTCTCTCAGCCAATCAAGGACGTTTAAGCATGTTGTTTGATGTAGGTACATGTTTCTATTCAAATCACTCTCTACATTTAATAGGCTGCTCTGTGCATGTCATTTCACAGCATGTGATGAAGTGAGCTCAGGCTGACAAAAAGCTTAAACTAATTCAGTCAGAGATGTATAAGACATGTATTTCTACCTTGCCTTCTTCCTTTGAAGTGAAACATTGGAGTAAATGTGCAGCTGTATGTTCCAGGCCTGGTAAGAATTTCACTTTTAAAAGACTAATCCTGTTTTAGTATAAGATCCTGTTTATCCAGTTTGAGCAGTAGGTTTTTAATTTTTAAAACAGAGACCCTGAAACTCCACTTGTATCTCCATTTCTACTACTCAAAAATTTTCAAAGAAACCTGCTTACTAAAGGTAAGACCCACATCATACCACAGGCACAGTAGCTACAGATGCTCACTGAAATCATTGTAGTTTTGGGGAAGGAGGTTGCTAGTCACCCTTAAGCTATTGGTCATCTAAAAATAACTTCTGTAGGAACACAGACTGGACTCTACTCACAGGGAGGTCCCTTCCAGTCACACAGGACTTCCCACTCCGTTTTTGCAATAAGAGTGAGTTAGGACTAGCTGAGAAAGTCTTGAAGAAAACCCAGCTGGTGGGCACTGTTGTATACATTTATGTTAGATACTTTTATAGCCCTTTCACCACTGCAGACTGAATACATGAAGTGCAGGTAGCATGCATCTCCCTTTACGTTTACTGCTGGAGGAAATACCAAGGTGAAACTTGATCCTAGAAGCAACAGGCTATAAAGAAGGGAGACGGCAGGTGAGCTCTGCCCTTGTCAATGATAATGTCCATTGTTTCTGTTCCTTGCTTGCTTTCTCTAGTGCTCTAGTTCAGTAGGGCCAACCTGTCTGGCAGATGTGTCCCAAATTAGCCCTATGCCCTCCCAAGTGCTGCTCCAATCTCCTTCCCCTGCTCAATCTGCTGCTCTACTTCCTGTTCTCTCTGCCACTGTGCTGCATGTCTCCTCCCTGATCCGTTGTGCTCTAGTTCCCAGTAGCAGACTGCACTAGATGATCCCAAAGCATGCCCCACAAACTGAGTAACTACGCTTGATTCTACTTAAAAGTAGAAACCGGATGATAAGTAAATGTTCTGCTTGATCTGTTCCAACACTTCTCCCAAACCATAATCCCAATTAGTCAGCCTAGATTATGAAAACATTTGTCCAACTTAAATTTCACCTTTGGAGTCATTGGCCAAATGCTTCACAATTTTAGTGAAGCAGCATTGACAAGTGAAAGATTACTGTATGCTCCTGTTCCAGTATTTCCAGGATGTAGCAAAGCTGTGAAAGGAATTATGCTTTACAAGAACATTACAGTTCCCTATTGCAACCCACTACTGATCAGAAGCTGGTCTGAAATAAGACTTCAGTGACAGACCAGAGTAATTTACCTCTCATCCAAGGTTCAAAAAGGACACCTCCCTTGAAAAGAAAGCCCTGCTTCCATATACGAAGTGAAAACCTATATAACATTTTTTTAAGACGTCTTCACATAAGCACAAGTGGGATCACCAGCTTCTAAAGCGAGCATAATTTACGTGAGAAGAGAAATCTGTATCTATTGTATCTATAGGAAGGCAGGTCATATGGTGTTTGTTACAGAGACAAAACACAAGTCCAAAACAAGTGAGCCATCAGCAGCTTCCCTGAGCAAGGCCACACTGCATTCTGGCAAGCACTGACTCCATGGTTTGAAATCCTCGGCTAGTCTCCATTTACAAGAACAGGATCATGAAAATAATTCCAGTGGGCACCAGCCTGGACATGCTTCATTTGAGTGGGGGCTTGGTGTAGACAGTCTTAAACTTATGCTCATCTCCCTTTAAAACAAACTACTCAGTCTGTACGTATTTTAATTGATTAATGCTTAACTTCATTTTAACATTCCTTTCTAGGTTTTATTTGCTTTTTAAAAGCTCTAGATCTCTTCTAAACATGCACATTTAATATCCACAAACCTTTATAACAAGAGTCACATGACTACTAGATGGCAGGAAATGGATTCTTTTCAAATCTCCACCAATCAATCCCACTTGTATTTGCGGCAAGCAGCTTTCTTTTTGGTATAATGCAAAACACCTCCTACTCCAGATAATAATCCTACGTGTGCTGTGGTTTGCAGCAGAGAAACTGTCCCTGGCCAAAATGAAGGGAAACAAGAGCTACATGACCTCTTTTAGGTATGAACTCCCACATGCCTGCCCAGCAAAGCTGCTTGCATCCTTTGCCCTGTCTTACCTCCCCCATCGTGTTGTTACTTTCAGTGCAACAAAGTATGGTATGGGGCACTCCTAAATAAGAATGAGACTTTTATCTGTGTTTCAAAACTTCAAAATGACTTGAAGTGCTTGTAGCTTGCATAGATTAGCTCCATTTTCTGCATTCTCCCAAAGCCCAGAATATTTAAACATTTTTCTGTGACCATGTCCTTAAAACATGAGGAACCTTTGCAGGAACTTCTGGTTTTTAACTTACTTGAAGTTGCTATTGTCAACAGGCATTTTTACACATACAAGTGCCACAGTTCCAGGTGCTTTGAACAGCGCCTAGCGCTGCAATGCTTGCAGTTGTTTAAGCATCGAAATGGGTGTCAGCACTGAGAAAATGGCAGAGGCGTGCTTTTGAACTAACACACCACAGAGATACTTTAGTTCAAAAGCGCACCACTGCCATTCTCTGAGCGCTGACACACATTTTGCCACTTACAGAACCGTGCACAGAGCAGTGCAGTTCACCTCACCTCGCGCACGAAGCAGACTTGATTAATCAAGTCTGCTCTGAAGCGGCGGATCTCCAGCATGTCACAGGAAAAAAAGGTACATGTAAAAATGCCTGATGTGTCACGTGACTTTGTGCTATTTTGCTGAAGAGACTCAAGTGGATTTTCTAATTTAGGTGAGAGGCAAGGAGTTAAGTTTTATGAATTTATGATTTAAGGATTTCCCACAAAATCCACCACAAAAAGCCCAACACTGCTCTGAAGAATATACGTTTGATGGGGTTACAGGAAGAGTAGGAAGAATCCTCCATCTTCACCTCCGCAAAAGGCCACATCTTTTGAAAAGTAAGCCCAGATTTGTGGAGAACATCTCTTGGTTCCACAAGTGGAAGAGTGGTCCTAGCCGAAAGGCGGACAGAACTAGCCATAACACTGACTAAAAGCTAACGTTCTGGCCATGACCTGCTCCCATCCTGAAGCCAACAGCCCCCTAGGCAAGAGGAGTTTCTATTGGCCTCCATTCTATCCAGGCAAAAGCCAGCTGGGAAACTGAGC